ATTCTAAGTGTTATATGTTAATTAATTGAGTTTAAATAACTCAAAGGTTGTAGGGTTCACAAACATTCTATTTTGGACAAACTAAACGAGCCATAATTATGCATTATGTATGCTAGAATTATAGAAGGGCTCGTTGGGGACAAGTTGGAAAAAATGGAACTCGATTCCAAGTTCGTATGAGCTCGTACGAGCCCGCGGCGCACGGGAGCGCAACTGGCTGCGGAAATCAAAGGGTTGCACCCTTTGGTGACCATAAGGTATCTTTTGGCCACTAGATGCATCCGTTATCGTTCGGGCACGTCCCAAAAGATGTCTTTTGACACTTAAACCTCTTGGAGGTGTCTCCTTACATCTATAAATACCCACTAACATGAAATTATTCAAAAGATAAAATAATTCCATAACTTTTGCATCCTTTTTACAAAGTTCATATTCATCTTGTGTTCTTTGTGTTCTTTCCTATCTTGAGAGTTCCGAAACTTAAGTATTGTTCGCCGAAAGTTTGTGTATTTGAGTTACCACTATACACAAATCAAAAATCGTTGTATCTTGGAGGCGTTAGCCGTGAACCGTGGGTAATATACAGGGCTATTTCATCTTAAGGAGAGCGTATCTTACGTGCCTCAACTTTGTTCGTTTTACCAAAATTTCTTCTATTTCTTATAGCCATTTTCTTGAAATTCACATACAAAACAATAACTGTAGACAACAATGCCATAGACATTTCTCAGGAGTTATAGTTAGGACTACAACATGTCTAGAGATTATATGCATACTAATAGGATCTTCAATTCCATCAACTTTTTCCCAAAATAATTACCAAAGCGTGGTATCAAATTTATCATTAAACAAATTAATCACACAGCTTTTACTTATGCATCATCTCCTATCTCAATTCACACCAAATCACTTGATTCACCACCACCCAGAACTAGAATTTATAACCAACACATAAAACTCACTTGTAACAACCCACACTATACGGCCATATCCTCTCTAAAAAACAGAAGCCTCAGGTAGGCAACTATACAATCATCAAAAAGCCCAGACCACAGGGGACTTCGCTCACATCTCATGACCGCGATTTTCAACTCACATAGTCATCAAAAGTTGGAGCAGTAGCAGCCCCCGCATTGATCTCCCTCCCGAACCTCCAGATGTAATTCAACCCCACGAGAAGCTCCGTTATGGCCGCCTCCGTCTTTTCCTGGCTCGCAAAATACAGCGTTTGCACGAGCAGCACGTTCGTCCTCCCGCCCTGGTGCTCGAAACTCCTCTCCGACTGCCACCTCATCATGTTGTGCGCCAGCGGAGCTAGCCACTCCAGCGTCCTCCCGATCGCCTCACTCCATTCCCCTGCAAGCCCCGTGTCGTAGGCCGAAGGTCCAAGGCTCCGTGCGTGCGGCTTCAGCTTTGCCCTGAGAGAAGACCTTATGCTGGCCGGCAACATGCTGTACAGCTCGTCCCGGGCATCATTTCCGATCAGGTGAGGAGTTGCCGCCAGCTTCTCAATGAATATTACGACGTTCGCGTAGTGCAGAGCCAGGGCAGCTGCACCGAGTGTGTCGGGAGGTGAAGGGTTGTTTCTCTTCGAGACCCACACTACTCGTGAATGATTATCGTGCATCTGGCTAGGGATAGGGCTCCCCATAGTTAGAGGATCGGCCTTTTGCTGAGGGACTCTCGATTTTTCACGAAATGGCCACAGGCTAGAGATGGTTTTGCTCGGTCCGGCCGATCGATGTAGTTGACCCGAGCGGAAATCGATAGGACCATCGTGGTTTCTCAGGATCGGGCCTGAGTTGAATTGTGCTGCATCGTTTGTTCTTACGAGCGGTCCGGAGCGTGAGATATCTTTGCCCGGTGGGAATCTGGGCCGGGGGAAGTAATTTTCGGATGGGTAGACAGATGACTGCATGAAGACGGTCGAGTGGCCACGTCGGCTGTTGAAGATACTCATCACCTTATTATTATTAAATTCTCTAACTCCCGAGTCGGCCACTTGATTGATTCCAAACACGTGCCCGATCCTTCCGTACACGGTAAATACCGTTCTAGCAAGAAGAAGGATCGTGTAATCATACGTTTGGCTCCACAGGGAATTCTCCTTCAGTTGCTTCACCTCGTGCTTTTTCCACGCCACCTTCTTCTCGTACTCGACCAACGTGATGCTCTCCGCCGCATTATCACCGCCTTTCATTCTCCTCAACGTCTGCTCGAGATCCGCGAGCGTTTCCATCTCTTGATACAAACTCGTGTTTGCGGCGACAAAACGCTCCATTTTCTTGATTTTACACTCCATTTTCTTCCACGAGAACTGCCACCTGTACGTGTCCGCGCCGTTTTTTATCAGATCGCTATAGGCTTGCTCGAAGCTCCTCAAGAGAGGGTCGTTGCACTTTTTCGATAGCCTCGCGACGGCACGTGCCACGTGGGATAAGTTATCCATCATCTCCGTGCATATCAACCTGCCGATGTAGTCGTCGTTTTCCGAGACGAGCTTTTTGATGCCTGCCGAATTTGCTATTTCGTCTCTTAACCTCGCGACCTGCTTGTCGGTGAGAGATTGCCATAGGTGGAGGAGTTTGGTAATCAGGCTAGCAGCTTCGAACGCCAAAACCGCAATCTGTGATTTGTGCACTTGGCAGTCGGATTTCTTGGAAGTTGTCCATAAATTTCGGAACCATGATTTAGTCACCATATCGAAATTTTACGCAAATAGTTCAAATAAATGATCTCCAAACCACTTCTATTAACTCTAATATTTCTTCATTCTCTGTAGAAAAAGCAAAACACAGGGCAAAAGGGAAGGCTTTTAGAATCAAAGAAACATATCATCTACATATGAGCAAAAGGGAAGGCTTTAGACACACACACACACACACACACACACAC